TATCTAATCAAAGTAAAGTAGGAAACTGGTACCACCCCAACTTCACTCCAATCGACATGCTTTTACACAATTAAGCTCAATCTAATAGAAAGGAAGCTGTAGCCTACCTTAAGGCCGATCGCGCGCGCTCCAAATCACTTTGCCAGAGCTTTTCCTTCCCGAACGACCTTTGAACGTGGCCACTCTATCAAATATATGATCACAACGTTAGTACGGTCGTTTAGACACCAAAATCACAACAAACGGAGACGGGTCAATTTTGGAGTCAAAACAGGAATCGTGGGACCGCACCGAACTGTTCGGATTTGACTCCATCAAGAGACTCAAAACAGTACCCCGAACTTGTGTTCCAAAATGGAACACAATTCGAGGCTCAAAACGCCGCAAAACCCAACATGCAAGAAAACCACACTTTAATCAACTTAAAAGAAAACATGCAGCAGTCTAAACTCGGAATTTACAAGAATCGAATGGTGCCCAACACTCCTTGAACACTCCACGACATAGCCACGATAATTCCCAACACGTGGGACTTCGAATCACCCAAAACCGAGCTAAAATGAGTGAGATATGACCAAAATAAGGAGGCCAAAAACAAAAACTCGAAAAAGGGCCTAACACTCAGGTTTATAACCAAATTTACCTCGAATGACGCGCACCCGACAACTTCCGAACACTCTACAACGAAGCCACCAAAAATATGAAGCTCCCACACTTCGAATCGCCTAATTCGGTTGAGAGATGACTGATGAGGGAGATATGAGATTTTTAAGTTTGGAAAAGGGTGCTGATTTTCTGCACTAAATACACCAGATTTCAACCTATTTTTCAAAAATTTAAAAACTCCGACGGGGTGCTCCGAGCTCGTTCGGAACCCCATGCACGCAGACGAGATATGCAACCATATCAAATTTGATATTCCGAACTCAATGACACAATCAAAATTTCCATACGAGGTCATCTTGACAAAAAGTGGGTCCCACACCCAACCGCCATTTTAAGTCAAAAACCACAAAAGGGCTCGAAAAAATATTGGAAACCTCGGGACATGAACGAAGGGTCAATCTAGACCAAACTCGACATTCCGGAGTTAACCGCACCAATGGAATTCTCATCCGAGCGCGTTTACTTAGAATGTTGACTAAAAGTCAAACTTAGGCTTAGACTTAAAGTTAAAAACGCCTAATCGCACCAACTCACACTGAAAACCTCGGGAGCCATGCCGACCATGCTACTAGCCTAGAAATGACCCTTTCGGAGCTGATGGAATCGTCAAAATTGGATTCAGATGTTATCTTCTTGAACTTTTGATCGAAAATGATCGTTCAAGGTTCATAAGCTCCAAAAACACAAAAACTCGCACAATAACCAAACAAAAGACCAGGTGACCGAACTGTCAGTTCCAGCAAGTCATAAATGACTTGGGGTTGCTACATGAACGCTCTAAACGACACACAAAAGGCAAACCACAGAAATGACCAGGAGGGTCATTACATTCAGCTTGGTTCAATTTTGTAGCCAAATTTATAAGTAGAAAATAGTAAAAGGATAAAAAGTAGGAGTGGAGAAGATTCATGCAAGTTGTTCATATGGACGTGGGTTGAAGAACGTGCTTCCCACTTCCCAGTGCACATTATACTGAAGGTGCACAATTGGAAAGGCAACTATCATCTATTGCAACCTGCAGTTGAATCCATATACAATTATTGGAAAGTGGAAGGAATATAAGTATCAATTACTATTGGTAATTCGTCTGATTGGGACTAAATGGAGCTCTTTAGATGAGAAGAATGCCTGAATGGAATGAAATCTCAATCTTGGTGACCATGCTTCATGCATTTTATTCTTTAATTGTTATTTGGTAAAAGCTGATTCGTTATTTGCTGATTGTTAGTAGACAATAATTACTCATCTCTATGATTTAATATTGCTTTTGGGATGTTTATCTAGGACGGACCATCCAGCGACTCTTCACTTGATACTAATGGTATTGAGAATCAGGAAATAGACTCAAAGTTGGATTTCTTAAGGAACAAACTTTCTCAGGTAGGCAGTCCTCAGAAAATTAGTAGATGCCTCATTTCTATATAAATTGATAATTTTATTCCTTTGCAATTTATTATCTATGCAGGTGGGGAAAGAGTCTGCTGATCTTAACAGAGAACTACAAGCACTGGAAAGGCAGTCCATGTTAAGTGGTCGTTCTGCTACCTCTCTTACTGAAGCATTAGAGTTGTATCAGCAACAGTCAGTGAATGAGAAGTTTGAAGGTAAATCATTCGCTCAACTCTGGAAATGCTTCTTGACTTGAGAATCATGAAACATCGTTTTGGGAAACAGAGAAGCATAGTCTGGTTACCTTTCCTTAGATACAAGTCTTTATTACTGAAAAGTGAAAACGACATTTATGTGGTATTTTATGACTAGATATTCTCTCTTTCATAATTTGGGTCATAACCTTCAGCAGCTGGGCGAAAAACAGATACATGTTACTGCAAATGATCTGGATTTTTATATGAACTATACCTGCCTTTGATATTGACTATAATCTATGCATTTTTGTTTTTTTTTCTCTTCATTAATTAATATAGGTTACTGTTCTTCCTTTGTCAAGACCTTGAATGACTTGGTATTTTGACACCTTGTTATTAATCGCTTCCTTGCTCTTCCTAAGGAGGTCCAGCCAAGTATGGTAAATTCAGTTTCTGCACTGAGTCATGTGTGTGATCGATTTTTGTGGTTCTGCACCTTGACTTAGCTTCTATAACCTGGCAACAGAAAAACAGAAAAGAAGGAAAGAAGATAATAAAAGAGCAGAAATTAGACATGTCATCTTAGACTACATAGAAGATTGCCTTTGTGTATGGTGTGGTTGTAGCTTGTGAGAAAAATAGGTGTGGGAATTCTCTGTGTGTTAATGAATAATGTGCTGATCATCTAACGTCTCTTAAATTTGGTAGAATCGACTTAATCTAGCCTCTGCTTCTAAACTTTTCCTACTTCAGCCCATTATGTAACTCCTTTATGGATTTGAACTGGTGATTACATTCCATATTGAGAAATCCTTAATAGGGAAGATCTCTTTGAAACTTTCCTTTTGCAAGGTTTTGTGCTTAATGATATAATTCCAGTACATTCATTGAAAAGTTATTGAATATGGTGCCCTTAAGTGGCTGTTTCTTCCAGAATTAGTACGGACTGCATCCGATTTTCATACCAAATTGGAGACATTGACAACCAAAATGATGGATAATACTGAGCACCCAAGAGCAAAGAAAAGTCGCATCTCAAATGGTGAACTGTATAGAATGAATAACGATAAAGGTCAGCATTCTGGCAAACTCAATTTAATTGTCTGACAATGCACTTGATATATTTGCATGCTAAATCTTGCATTTCATCTTGTAGGACTCCTGAGTGTGACAATGGAGGAACTTCAAGAACTTGTGGATGATATAAAGACTCTTCGCGACTAATCGGTGGCTTAATTCTCTAGTGCTGTAAAGAAGTGCTCCTGTAGATTCCTAGTCATGTAAGAAGATTTTGATGTGATATATTTCTTCGTTTTGAAATGCCTAAAATGTGAGAGATAACAGTAAGCAGTTTACTAGGACATGATTAATGATTAGTGTGGAAAAATAAATAGTTAAAACCTCTTAATTTTATGAGTGTCTGAACAGATGCTAATATTCCATATGTTTTCATTGATTATTAACCACCAAGATCATATAAACAACTACAGTGATGTAGCCAACATTGCTTGTTCATGCACATTTGATCTTCTGCAGTATCAATTGCTCCCTGTGCCTTTGCCTGTATTTCTGAGTTGCCTGTAAAATGATTCAGGCCCTATTTCAGCAAGCAGTTTTCTGTTGCACAGTTATTCTACTGCTAAGCATATTAAGTTAATCCCTTTACTTTTATAATCATTAGAAAGATGAAGATGGAATATGAGATTGTCGATCCTGGAGCGTAATGGCTCCTGAAATTATTAAGTAAATAACGCTGGCATCATTATTGAAGTCTAGTAAGCCACGATAGGCAAAAGGCACTGCCTATCATCGGGTAGTTCATCTGTCAAGAACAACCTTGAGGCCATGACTGATATCATCCAGGTATAGGTCACTAATTAGGTAGTGAAACTGAAGGATCAGGGTCCTCCACATATTGGTTTGTGTATTAAGGCCATTATTGCCGTTGCATTTTTCTTTCTTAAAGAGGAAGCATATGATATTTCATGTAAAGAGTAACGGTTCAAAAAGAAGGAAAATAAACCTTAGAAAAGTGCAATTAGAACAAAGGGAGGAATAACTATTATAACGAAGGACCTGCTTGACTATAAACCATATCAAGCTTCCACCTGTTCTTTTTCCTTTTCTTTGCTCTATTAAAAAGAGGGAGTGAGGGTAGGGAAAGCTAAGTTCATAGGTTCTAGAGATGGTGGAAATTCGCACAGAGTTAGGTAAAATAATAGTACAAGCAAAGATGTTACTTCAAAAACCACTTACCATGCAAAGCAAAGTCTGGTATTTAAGTGGAGAAGGGTAGAGGGGCGGGCCCATTATCCACCGAGTTTAGAAGGCTGTGATTAGTCCAAAGGGCGGGTCACAGACGGATTTCTCGGTTATCAAAAAAGAAAAAAAAAACCACTTACCATCCAAAACAACTCTGGATGATCAGTAGTCCAATTGTAATGGTAAAACAAGTCACAGATCCCTGTACCAAGTGTGGTTTGTATCCCAATAGGCGGCTAAAAATATCCAAAGTGCTCTGGGTAATTGATAAATTAAAATTCTGTGTAAATCAACTTACTGGGAATTGACATTACATGTAAATACTTAGTTTGAATAGTCCACAATTTCATTTGTAAGTTCAAGATTAGTGTCCAGGACTCCAGGTAATACAATTGTTATGCTGTAAGTAAGGTCTACGGCCTTTTTATTTAGCGTAGATAGTAAATGCTTTATATCAGAAAGCTTATTCTTGAAAGATAGAAGACATTAAACTCTAGAAACACCAATGAAGTTCTGGTCTAAAGACCCAACATAAAGCTTTCCTTTATATTCTTGAACTTCAGTTATCCCATTAGGACTATTATACTGATCTGTGAAATTACATGTTTCCACGACCCTTCCGAATCGATTGATCCTTTGTCCTAGTGAAAATGTAGTAGGTTGTTTGGTGTTGAAAATAGCCACCCAAAAGTCCCCCAACACAGTCCTCTTAATGTTATCTGGAATTCCATCAACATTTGCGAAAACATCTGATGAATTTGCTTTTGTGCCTTTGAGCCAAAACCTCTGAATTCTTTGAGTAATATATTCTGTGATCAAGACATATGAATTATCTTTGCTGAGTGCCACCCCAACTGGCCCTGACAGTCCACTTAGCAATAATGTGACCTGTTTTGTTCCTATATCATACTTGAACAATCTCCCTATGTATCTCCGCTTTCAGCTACTCTAGTCCTGTTGCTGCCAAAAGTTTTCAAGTTATTTTGCTTGAGTTAGTGTCCCCTCTTTCTTAAGAATATTCAATGTAATATTAGAAAAATTAAATTGGACATAAAGATAAGTTTTTGAGCAACTAACCCAGTCAGGAATATAGCTCCTGAATCTACAAAATAAACTACTCCGTTATTTTGGTCAATATCTAGTGCATCGAGAAAAGCAAAATGCCTGCCCTGAAAGCTAGTAACACGTGTAACAAGCCCTCCGCTTGGTCCAACCACCACGAGTCCATAAAATGCATCAGTTATAGGTCACCAGTTCTGTAGTAAAATTCAAGGCCAAATGGTCTTCCACATATTTGTTGTAATTCTGGACCATTTTTTCCATCACATCTTGCCTTGGTCCTGAATAGGAATAGTATAGGGAAAACAAAAGAATATCAAACTTTGAGTATGTAAGTAGATGAAGGAGGAGTTTACTCTATTTTAATGTGAAAAATTTACCTATTTGGTGATGTAACAGCAAAATCAGTGAAGGCAACTTTTGGACCTTGATATTTGACTATTCTGCCATCTGCAATACCTGTGTGAGGTCCACCACCTTTTCTATCGAAAGCAGAAGCCTCGGGGCCTATGGTTTGTAATGGAAGTTGGAGCTTGCTAAATGCAGGAAATCGACACCAAGCCATGCTGGGAGAAACATTTAGCATGATCCAAATCTGGACGAACAATACTGTTTTTCTAATTGAGAATGTTTCCATCTTTCTGGTGTACTCAGTAAAACGATATGCTGTTGATACTTATACTAGCAATAGCCCACCGCTCCTAGCATGTTAAAGAAAATAGTTGAGCCTAACACCCTTCCCCCTCCCTCCCTCCCCGCCAGATTTGGTTAGATGATATCATATTAAAAGAAAAGATAGTGGGTCTAACTCAACCATATCAAAAGTTAGATCGATGTTTGTCCAAGATCATATAAGGAGACAACTCATTTCCTCAACCAATGTGAGACAATCTAACACAACAATAATAAATCTTACAGTGAGGTTATGCTGATTTGACATATAAAGTGTTATGAAGTGAAAACCTATATGTGTAAAATAAACAATTACAGACAGGGTTATGTACATTTCCAAATTCGGGATTTTAACGAAGAAATCACAACATCAAAATTATTAATCTGCCACCGATCAAGAGCCTCTTATTTACTAGTTTCCCTCTCTTTTTGAGTTGACAATGGGGGACGTGGGGTGGGGTGGGGGTGGGCGGCTATTGAAAGAAAATTTCAATGTCAAACCTCTGTGGTCACCTAGCCATATAATTAGCTAGCTTCAGCTACAGAGACTTTCCCAAGTTAAGTAACTAATCCTATTTACCTGCAGAACCATTTCAATAACTAAACTAGATGAGATGAATTGTTATAATATTTCAAATCATTCATGGCACCAAAACATTATAAAGTTTTTCTAAAAAAAATTGTAGTTGTTTCATCAATAGTCCAGCAGACGTCTCCAATAATTGTGTATAATATTTTCATTGGTTTCAAGAAACTTTAGTTTTTTCATCAATATGATACAAACTAGACCTGCCACCAAGTGTGATTCCTATTCCAATAGGTGAGTAGAAATGTCAAAAGTACTCAGGATGAAAAGAAACACTAAAATTTTGTATACATTAACCAACTGGGAATTGATATTACATGGAAAATGCATAATTTTATTAGTAAGAAATTACTTTTGTAGGTTCAAGATCACTATGCAGATAAGTACAGATGATAAGTTGTATCTTCATAAACCACTTACCATCCAAAACAACTCTGGATGAGATTGATGATATTTGGTTCATAGTCCTACCAGTAGTCCAATTGTAATGGTAAAACAAGTCACAGATCCCTGTGGATGTCTGAAACTAGATCTGCTACCAAGTGTGGTTTGTATCCCAATAGACGGCTTAAATATCCAAAGTGCTTTGGGTAATTGATAAATTAAAATTCTGTGTAAATCAACTAACTGGGAATTGACATTACATGAAAATGCTTAGTTTGAATAGTCCACAATTTCATTTGTAAGTTCAAGATTAGTGTCTAGGTAATACAATTGTTATGCTGTAAGTAAGGTCTACAGCCTTTTTATTTAGTGTAGATAGTAAATGCTTTATATCATAAAGCTTATTCTTGAAAGATAGAGGACATCAAACTCCAAAAACACCAATGAAGTTCTGGTCTAAAGACCCAACATATAGCTTTCCTTTATATTCTTGAACTTCAGTTATCCCATTAGGGCTTTTATATTGAGCTGTGAAATTACATGTTTCCACGACTTTTCCGAATCTATTGATCCTTTGTCCTAGTGAAAATGTAGTACGTTGTTTGGTGTTGGAAATAGCCACCCAAAAGTCCCCCAACACAGTCCTCTTAATGTTATCTGGAATTCCATCAACATTTGCAAAAACATCTGATGAATTTGCTTTTGCGCCTTTGAGCCAAAACCTCCGAATTCTCTGAGCAATAGATTCTGTGATCAAGACATATGAGTTATCTTTGCTGAGTGCTACCCCAATTGGCCCTGACAGTCCACTTAGTAATAATGTGACCTGTTTTGTTGCTATATCATACTTGAACAATCTCCCTGATATATCTCCGCTTTCAACTATTCTAGTCGTGTTGCTGCCAAAAGTTTTCAAGTTATTTTGCTTGAGTTAGGTACCCCTCTTTCTTAAGAATATTCAATGTAATATTAGAAAAATTAAATTGGACATAAAGATAAGTTTTTAAGCAACTAACCCAGTCAGGAATATAGCTCCTGAATCTACAAAATAAACTACTCCTGTCCTTTGGTCGATATCTAGTGCATCGAGAAAAGCAAAATTCCTGCCCTGAAAGCTAGGAACACGTGTAACAAGCCCTCCGCTTGGTCCAACCACCACGAGTCCATAAAACGCATCAGTTATGTAGAGATCACCAGTTTTGTAGTAAAATCCAAGGCCAAATGGTCTTCCACATATTTGTTGTAATTCTGGACCATTTTTTCCATCACATTTTGCCTTGGTCCTGAAGATGAACAGTATAGGGAAAACAAAAGAATATCAAACTTTGAGTATGTAAGTAGATGAAGGGGGAGTTTACTCTTTTTTAATGTGAAAAATTTACCTATTTGGTGATGTAACAGCAAAATCAGTGAAGCCAACTCTTGGACCTTGATATTTGACTATTCTGCCATCTGCAATACCTGTGTAAGGTCCGCCACCTTTTCTATCGAAAGCAGAAGCCTCGGGGCCTATTGTTTGTAATGGAAGTTGGAGCTTGCTAAATGCAGGAAATCGACACAAAGCAACGCTGGGAGAAACATTTAGCATGACCCAAATCTGGACGAACAATACTGTTTTTCTGATTGAGACTGTTTCCATCTTTCTGGTGTACTCAGTAAAACGATATGCTGTTGATACTTATACTAGCAATTACCCACTTCCCCTAGCATGTTAAAGAAAATAGATTATAGTTGTGCCTAACACCCTTTCCCCCTCCCTCCCTGCCCAGGTTTGATTAGATGATGGCTCAACATTGAATAAACCAAGAATTAGGGATAAGTCTACCTCTCTAATATCATATTAAAAGAAAAGATAAAGGGTCTAACTCAACCATATCAAAAGTTAGATCGATGTTTGTCCAAGATCATATAAGGAGACAACTCCTTCCCTCAACCAATGTGAGACAATCTAACACAACAATAATAAATCTTACAATGAGTTCATGTTGATTCGACATATAAAGTGTTACGGAGTGAACCTATATATGTGTAAAAAAAACAAGTATACACAGGGTTCTGTACATTTCCCAATTCGGGATTTTAACCAAGAATCCACAACATCAAAATTCTTGATCTGCCACTGACAAGAGCCTCTTATTTACTAGCTTCCCTCTCTTTTCGAGTTGACAATGGAGGACGTGGGGTGGGGGCTATGGTAAGAAAATTTCAATGCCAAACCTCTGTGGTCACCTAGCTAAATAATTAGCTAGCTTCAGCTACAGAGACTTTCCCAAATGAAGTAACTAATCCTATTTCCCTGCTGAACCATTTCAATATCTAAACTAGATGAGATGAATTGTTATAGTATTTCAAATCATTCATGGCACCAAAACATTTTAAAGTTTTTTCTTAAAAAAACTGTAGTTGTTTCATCAATAGTCCAGCAGATGCCTCCGACAATTGTGTATAATATTTTCTTTGGGTTCAAGCAACTGTAGTTTTTTCATCAATATGATACAAACTAGATCTGCCACCTAGTGTGATTCCTATTCCAATAGGTGAGTAGAATTGTCAAAAGTACCAAGGGTGAAAATAAAAACTAAAATTTTGTATACATAAACCAACTGGGAATTGATATTACATGGAAAATGCATAATTTTATTAGTAAGAAATTACTTTTGTAAGTTCAAGATTACTATGCAGATAGTACAGATGATAAGTTGTATCTGCAGCATTTTTATTTGTTGTAGGTAGTACCCTAAAATAGCTTATTATTGAAAAACGGAAGAGATCAAACTGTGTAAACTCCGGCAAAGTTGCTCTGTAAACACCAATGAAGTTCTGGTCTAAAGACCCAACATAAAGCTTGCCTTTATATTCTTTAACTAAAGTAATCCCAAGCGGAGTATCATTATATTGAGCTGTGAAATTACGCGTTTCCACAACCTTTCCCAACTGATTGATCCTTTGTCCTATCGAATATGTGATATTTTGTTTCGTGTTGGCAATAGCCACCCAAAAGTCCCCCAACACAGTCCTTATGTTATCTGGAATTTCTTTATACCTTTCTGAAAACATCGGATGAATTTGCTTTTGGACCTTTGGGCCAAAACCTTCGAATTCTTTGAGCAATATGTTCTGTAATCAAGACATATGAACTATCTTTGCTGAGTGACAACCCTACTGACCCTGAAAGTCCACTTAGCAATAATGTGACCTGTTTTGTTCTTATATCATACTTGAACAATCTCCCTAATGTATCTCTGCTTTCAACTATTCTAGTCATGTCGCTGCCAAGTAGTTTTAAATTCAATTAGTTTACCTCGTTTTGCATATTAAATGTAGTATTTGCAAAATAAGTTTTAGAGGGACAAACCCAATCCGGAATATTGCTCCTGCAGGCTGCATCTACAAAATAAATGACTCCGGTTTTTTTGTCAATGTTTAGTGCATCGAGAAAGCCAAAACGAGTACCCTCAAAGCTAGTAACAAGTTGGGTAGCAAGTCCTCCAGTTGGTCCAACCACCAAAATTCCATAATATGCATCAACTGTGTAGAGGTCACCAGTTTTGCTGTAAAACTCAAGCCCCAACGGGTTCTCACATATTCGTTATGATTTTAGGTCGTTTGTGCCATCACATCTTTTCTTGGTCCTAAAAGTGGATAAAATAATTAGGACAAGAAAAAAAATAAAAGTTAGTCCTTCGGGATGGCTCAATTGGTTTGGAGGGTGGTCATCCACATGAATGACCCGGAATTGATCCCCTCAATGCCTTCTGCGTCGAGCATGCCGCATAGAGCTTGCCTAATGCGGTTTATATCCCCTATGTGGTTTGCAAACTATTACATAGTGGGTTTCCCCAATGCGCACAAAGTGCTCACCGAGTTTTCCAAAAAAAAAAAAAAAAAAAGTCAAGCTTAGAAACTGAATTTAGTTACCTATTTGGTGATGTTATAGCAAAATCAGTGAATCCAATTATTGGACCTTCATATTTGACTATTCTGCCATCTGCAACAGCAGTGTAAGGTCCATCGCCTTTTTTTTTTTTTATCGAAAGCAACAGATTCAGGGCCAACGACTCGTGATGGAAGTTGGAGCTTCCTAAATGCTGGAAATTGACAGTGAGCAAAACTGGAGGAACCATTTAGCAATATCCAAATCTGGAGAAGGAATATTGTTTTTGTAATTGAGATTGTTTCCATGTTTCTAGTGTACTCAATAAATTAATTATCTGTTGATACTTATACTACCAATTGCCACCCACCCCTAGCATGTTAATGTTAAGAAAATAGACATGAGATGAAACAATGCGGGACTATCTAACACCGTAACACGCCTTCATCTCCTCTCACCCGTGCAGGTTTGATTAATTAGAGCGTGGATAGCATAAGATAAGGGCTCAATATTAGGAATATCAAGAAATAAGAATGATTCTTCTAATACCTTATTAAAAAAAAATTAAAATATTGATATTCAGCATAACTCATTCTTAAAAACTAGTCTGAGTTTTAGCCGGGACAATTTAACTAACACAACAGTGGTGAACCTTATAATGAGTTTGCAGGTTCGACAGAATCAAGTGCTTTTTGGGGTAGAACCTTATATATACATGAAAGACAAGTATATATAGAGTTAGATCGATATACATTTTTAAAATCCACTTTTTTAACTCAGAATTCATAATATGTAATTTGTTTGATCTACGATAGATCCAACAATTAGTGTGGACATGAGAGGAGATAGGGGGATATTCAGCCGGCGTGCTCTTAGAAGAAATTTCCAATTGACAACTTACAATAAGAACAATCAAATCTTAATCAAGTTTAAGTTATATATATCATCAGTTTAAAAGGTTTCTACATCATTAGATTATCTTTACTTGTTATAACATGTAACTTGTCTTGTAGATATTCTTTGGATGACTTGATATAGTACAAACAATTCTTTACACTAACTCATATTAATCAAACTTTCACATCTTAAAAATGAAATGAGAGTAATATTTACCTCATACTGCTACCTAATGTGTATTTATATGGTCCTTAATTATACTACACAAAGAAAAGGAAATTGTTGTATGTTTGTTGTAGTTTTATACATGAGGAAAACAGAATTACAGTTAACATATATAATTACTATAACTTCTAAATTCTGCTTTTATTGAGCTCTAAATGAACTGAAGCCGTCAGCTACATTTTCTAATAAGTGAAACGTGCCAAAAATAGGTAACTCTAGTTAGGTGATCATATAGTGACACTGACGCGTGGAATAATATAATAAAGAAGATGAATTATTGTTTCAAATTATTCTAAAGTTAAAAAAAATAAAAAAAATATAGTTGTTTCATCAATTCTGAAGGCATTTGCCTACAATAAATTTGTGTATAATATGACTCAAGAGAAGAACTGAACAATTTTAGATTTGTTTGTTCTTGACTTTCGGTTTCAATTCCTGAGTGCTTCTAATATTAAATCTTAAGAGCTCTCTCTTGTAGTGCGTAGATGTGCCTTCTCGTGTCTCTTCTAATATTATGAAAATTCCTATATAGTACGTGAACTCTTTCGATTGATTTGATTAGTCTATTTGAATTACCAAATACTCCACCAACCATTTTGATATGGTGACGAACTCTTATTCAATTGGCCAGAACATGTTACATGTACATTTGACATGATTTTTTTGGTTGTGTGATTTGACTTGGTATGCCATATCTCTTGCCACGTGGTGTGATCTTATTGACTCATTCATATGACATGACGTTATGAGAATAGACTTTAAGATGGGTATTTGGACCTTGGGCTAGTAAAATGGGCTCATATCTTGGAACATCATTTAATGGACTAGCCTAAGTAAAGTTTGGACTTCAATTTAAGTGCTATTCTATTTTTTATTACACCTTTTCCACTACCAACAATAAGAAGGTCCTCAGCATTTTTATTTAGTGTAGAAAATGCTTATTCATGTAAAACTACATAAAGCCTGAATCATAAAAGCTTATTCTTGTGAAAACAGAAGACATACATCAAACTCCATCAACACCAATAAAGTTCTGGTCTAAAGACCCAATATAAAGTTTGTCATTATATTCTTGAACTTCAGTTATCCCATTTGCACTAGTATATTGAGCTGTGAAATCACGCGTTTCCACGACTTCTCCCAACTGATTTATCCTTTGTCCTGTTGAATTCAAGGTGGGAATGATCAACAACTTTATTTTCACGCTGACAACAGCCACCCAAAAATCTCCGGACACAGTCCTCTTGATATTATCTGGATTTCCATCAATGTTTGTGAAAACATCCGAAGAATTTGCTTTTGCACCTTCAAGCCAAAACCTCGTTATTCTTTTACCAATAGCTTCCGAGACTAATAAATACGATTTGTCTTTGCTGAGTGCTACCCCTGCTGGCCCTGAAAGTTTATCTAGTAATAATGTGACTTGTTTTGTTGCTATATCATACTTGAATAATCTCCCTGTTGTATCTCCGCTTAAAGCAATTAAAAACCTGTTGCTGCTCACAAAACCATTCAATTTTAATTTTTTTTAAAACAGATAGTTGCAAATAAATGCAGTATTGATAAATAAATGAAATCTAGGCCTTAGAAGGACGAACCTAGTTCGGAATATGGCTCCTGCATCTACAAAATAAATGATCCCCTCTTCCTGGTCAATGTCTAGTGAGTCGAGAAAGGCAAAAGGCCTACCCTCAAAGCTAGTAACAAGTGGTGTAGCGAGCCCTCCGCTTGGTGTAACCACCAAGAGCCCATAATATGCATCAGTTATGTATAGGTCACCAGTTTTGTTGTAAAATCCAACGCCATACGGTCTTCCACAAGAAATTTGTGATATTGGGTCATTTGTGCCATTACATATTTGCTTGGTCCTAAACATATATACACAATATATGACAAAATATCAGTCTTTGAGAAAAGAAGGACAAGCTACGAACTTCGTTGCTAGTCCATGAAGTTTGAAGTTTGTCAGTCGCTAATTCTTATTTTGTTCTTAATAGTGAATAAGAAAAAGGTCAAGCTTAGAATTGGAATTTAGTTACCTATTTGGTGATGTAATAGCAAATTCAGTGAAGCCAGTAATTGGACCTTGATATTTGAATACTCGGCCATCTCCAACACCAGTGTAAGGTCCGTCGCCTTTTGTGTCGAAAGCAGCAGAGTCAGGGCCAAAGGTTCGTAATGGAAGTTGGAGACGTGAAAATGCGCAATGAACAATATAAGGTGAGGCATTTAGGATTATCAAAATCTGGAGAATTAGGAAAATTGTTTTTGTAATTGAGACTATTTCCATGTTTTCTATTGTATCAATAACATAATCAACTATTGATATTTATACTAGCAATTGCTCACCATCCCTAGCTTGACTCGAGTGTAATATACATTTGATTTATTTATTTAAAATGTATGTATCACATTCATTCTGAACTCGTAACTTTAAGTCATGACATTTTCTATGATGATAGAAGGTTGAGGTGTCATAGAATCTTAACAGAAAATCTTTCGAAGATTGGAAAAATTCTAAACTCGTCGACTTTAAATCATTCATCTCGTAAGAGCACGGGAAGATTTACGTTTTGACATCTCTTTGTTCTCTAAGAAACATGTCTTGAATTTTGAACTTACCAGTAATGTCAATACTAATCCAACTTTCACGTACTAAAAGTTAAATGCCAATAACATTTACATGGTCGTCAGGTTGGGGTATGATAAGGTAGATATTGGAATTAAAAATTTTGATATTTCGATTTTGATATTATGATATTTAATATGGCATTCGTTATGTTTTTAGTGTTAGTTAATTATTTATAAGTTATAATTAGAAAAAATATTATATCTTATCAAAGTATATAGTTACAAATACAATTCATATATATTATTATAAAATACTAACAAATCTATGTATATATATATATATATATATATATATATAGATTTGTTAGTATTAATACAAAAATAATTGTTTAAACGTTGAACTTTGACTACTCTATTTAGATTGAAATCTTCTAAAAAAAATTGTGTGTAATTGATTAACAAAGGGATTGCTTAACTTGTACTTTCTTTTGAATAGTTCCATATGTATAAAGTGTTAGTATGATATTATTGAGATGTTTCTTAAAAGTCAAAGTTATAATTCTCTACTGTATGAGTATATGTAAGTTGAAGTCGAATAAAATTGTGGCTACCGATTTACAAGACCATAAAATATAGAAATCGTACTTTAAAAAGACAATTATTTTTTCCATTTGATCCTTAACATTAACTACTTATTCTCCAAATCATTTTCTAAAATCTAACATTAAACATTAATTAATAAGAATATTAGAATAGTGTGATAAAATAAACATGACAATCTTCTTTTTTTATTTAATGAGTGTGTCAAATCCAAAAATAACAAATATAAAAGGGAGTATAATATTTTTATTTTTTTTTAAAAAACAAAATTACCGAATTTCAGTATTGTACTAAATAGTCCACGCTCACCTCTACCTGTATTATGGTCCTTATAGGAAACGTCCAAAGATGGCTGTCTTGATTTCTAGTTTGTTGTAGGTTTGTGTTATGGGTGTATAAAAAAAATTAACAAATCACATCAAATAGATAGTTCAAGTTTGTTGTAGGTTTGTGTTATGGGTATATTAAAAAAATGATAAATCACGTCAAATAGATAATTCAAGTTAAATCGAGAAAAAAAATTAATTAGCGATTTAATTTAACTTGATTTGATATAGAAAAAAAATCTGATCATAATTGATTTAGTTTGACTTTAACTAAAAAGAGTCGCATCCAACCAAATCAACCCGATTAATATGTATACAATTATATTTATTGTAACATAATTTCTTAAGTTTTTGTTTTTTTAAAACATATTAGAATTTTGAATGATCCAATATGTTTTATAGTTATATTTATAAATAAGCCATATAAAGTCTAAGAGCCTGTTTGGATGGGCTTATAAGCTGGTCAAACTGTCTTAAAAGCCAGTTTTTGACTTATTAGAGTGTTTGGCAATTATCAAAGTGACTTATTTTAAGTCAAAAATGACTTATTTTAAGCCAAAAGCTAAAAGCTAGGGGGGGGGGAGCTTTTTTTTTTTAAACTTAAAAGCTCTTTTATGTTGACCAAGTATATTACCTTTTTGCCCTTAATTCTTTTATACAATTTCCATATTGCCCATATTGAATTATTATATTATTATTATTATTATTATTATTATTAT